ATACACAGGAGGTCTTCTAATTCTGACTTCAGCTGTATATCTGTTGCATTAGCGCTCATTATCAACAGTAATCACCATAGAAGAAATGCTGACTGCGATGGTGACAAACAAAGCTGCACAAACATGATCCGCGCAGGGAGACGGAACAATCCAGCCTGTAATGAGTTGTAATGGATGGAGGAGTAACATCATGAGGTGCGGTAATGGATTCATCGCTAATGAGAGTTTCAGAAGTTCAAAGACTAATGAACTCTAACGTACTAACATTGTAGACGTAGTGCCATACAGTCATACAGGGAGTTAAATTAGATGCACTGTGAGGAGTTTGCATGTTTTCCCTGTGTTGGCGTGGGTTTCCTCCGGGTGCTCCGGTTTCCCCCAAAGTCCAAACACAAGCGCTGTGGGTGAACTAAAGAAACTAATGAATGTGAATGGGTGTTTCCCAGTACTGGGTTGCAGCCGGAAGGGCATCCGCTGCATAAAACATTTGCTGGAATAGTTGGCGGTTCATTCCACTGTGGTGACCCCAGATAAATAATGGACTAAGCCGAAGGAAAATGAATGATTTCCGGAGCTTTCCAAGATGTGCATTCATCAAAGCATTGTAGTCTAGAATTACCCACAACTGCCTGAAAATTTGGAAGACATTGTGCCAGTGATCTGATGACAAAGCAAGATTCATTAGACCAAAGCTAACGCAGCATTTTATTTTACCGTATAAGCCTGAAAGTCAAGTCGTAATGAATTTAGACAGATGCTGACGCTTACATGCAAACAATACATGACAAAGAAGTCTGCCAACATGCAGTGCCCCAGTTCTGTCTTAGTACATTCCACCAAAAAGATGTAGATTTTCATTTAAAGTACACAAAATAAAAATCAGAGGAAGGCAAATTAAACTGTAAATGTTAGAAGAAGATCAAAATATCAAATATAAAGTGCATTGAGTGTTCTGCAGCATTTACAGTTGAAACCAGAAGTTTACATACACTAAAAAAATGGTTATGTTCCTTTTTTTTTAATGTCTGAAGGGAAATCATACTAAACGTTTACTATTTTAGGTTCGTTAGGATTACCTAAATGATTTAAATTTGCTAAATGCCACAATAATAAGAACATTTTTTTGTAATTTCTAGACAGTCAAAAGTTGACATACATTCCCTTGATATTGTTTAGCTTTGCTTTTAAACTGTATAACTTTGGTCAAATGTTTTGGGTATCCTTTCACAAGCTTCTCACAATAGTTTGTTGGAATTTTGGTCCATTCCTCCTGACAGAATTGGTGTAACTGAGTCAGATTTGTAGGCTGTCTTGCTTGCTCAAGTTTTTTCAACTCTGCCCACACATTTTCTATAGAAGTTAGATCAGGGCTTTGTGATGGCCACTCCAAAACATTCACTCTGTTGACCTTAAAGCACATTTGAACTAATTGGGCAGTATGCTTAGGTTCATGGTCTGTTTGGAAGACCTATTTGTGGCCAAGCTTTAATTTCCTGGCTGATGTCTTGAGATGTTGCTTCAGTATTTCTACATAATGTTCTTTCTTCATGATGCCGTCTATGCCGTGAAGTGGACCAGTCCCTCCTGCAGCAAAACAGCCCCGCAACATGATGCTGCCGCCCCCATACTTCACAGTTGGGATGGTGTTCCTAGGCTTGTAAGCTTTCCTCTTTGTCCTCCAAATGTAACACTGGTCATTATGGCCAAACAGTTCAATCTTAGTTCCATCACACCACAGGACATGTCTCCAAAAACTAGAGTGTCTCCAAAACATGTCTCTTTTTCCCAGTGTAAATTTGCAAATTGTAATCTGGCCTTTTTGTTGATTCTGGCTTGTTGATTTTCCCATGTTGTCACAGTAGTTAGCAGTGTGTTTGAGGTTTTCCTTAAATACTACTCTACAGTTGTGCCTACACTTAACTCAAATGTTGTCAATTAGCCAATCAGAAACATCCAAAACCTTGACACCATCATCTGAGCTTTTTCAGAGGCAGAATAATCTTATTGTAAAATTGACTTTTAAGAAAAGTTATAACAATTTCTCTAAAAATATCTCTCATTATTCTGGTATTAAGCAGAACAGAAACCCATTTGATAATCCTGACTTACCTAAAAGAGAAAAAGTTTAGTCACATTAACATCTGACTTTTTTTTTTATTAAAGGTTATGTGGCTTTTTATACAACATATGTAAACTTCTGGTTAAACTGTATATGATCTAAAAATACACAAAGCACCTATAAGAAACATAAGTTGGTAACACTTTATTTTGATGGTTCATCTGAGTATTAGTAGACTGTCTGTTTAATATCTGCTGATACTGCTCCTTTAACAGACATTTAACTGACTATAAGAAACTTTGCAAATACATGTCAACCTACCCTAACCCCAACCTAACAGTCTACTTATAATCTAATAAGTATTAGTTGACATGTAGATGCAATAGGGATGTAACGGTATCAGAATTTCACGGTACGATAATACCTCGGTATGAATGACACGGTACGGTATTTATTGAATCAATTACAGGAAAAACAAAACTAATGAAAAGACTCGAAAAAAGTGCCAAAAGTGTTTATTTACCTTAGCACTGAACATATCAATGACATACAAATTAGCCATCTATCTGTAAGTTCGAAACAGGAACTTCAATTTTTCAATTTTAATAACAAAAAAATTATTAAACCATGTAAAAAAATAAAGTTTCAATTTAGTATTGTTGAAAACTCATCACATTCAACATTTAATCACTCACTCACTTAGATAGAGATGGGTTTTAAGGAAAATGATCATATAACTATAATCTGGTAAAAGCTGGTATCTCTGGGCATTTACAATGTCCCCTGCAACAGAAAAACCCCTCTCATTTGGGACTGAGGTTTCTGGGACAAGAGAGATATGACTTGGCCCAGGTTGACAGCAGTGGGTAACATTGTGCATTGTCTTTCCCCCACTTGAGAGGACAAGCCATGAGTGAGATAGAGGTCTCTTTGCGGTACAAGTCAATGTCTGCATCAATCTGAACAGTGTGATGTTCTGCAGTCCCTATGACTGTTATTAGTCGTATTCCCCGACTTGCAGGCACTAAACATAGGGCTCAACCTGTGCAGTGCACATGCCCTTTTTAGTCTTGGATAGAAAGTGCCCTTCCAAAATGATCAAAAGTGCCCCACGACGCGACACAACCTCCGTCCCGCCCTTCAGTAGGCGCGCGACAACACCGCTCTTGAGTATGCGCGCTCAACCCCCCGAAAACCGAAATGCTTCCACACATCCGATTTAAAACCCGCTTTAGGTTCGATCTTCTCCAGCTCTTTTTCATTCCTGCTACTAGCAACACACTCCATTTCTGCATTACTGGATCTGTAGCGACAACAGACCGCAAAGGATGATGGCCACGCCTAGGCTGATGGGAATTGTAGTTTCCGCTACCTCCCGTTCGCTTCATTCGACTGAGCAAATTTCTCAGAAGACCTATAGTTTTATCAAGTCATGCGACTACGGTAATATTGAAAAAAAATTGCTATTGCGGTATGACGGTATTTACAATACCGTTACATTCCTAAGATGCAATGTAACAATCGGACCATCAAAATAAAGTGTGACCCATAATTTTTTTTTTTAAATAACGCTACAATTTTCACATAATATTTATTACAGCATCGTAATATTTTTGACAGCGTCCAAAATGTTTCATTCAAGGATCTGGCTTCTCTAAACCCTGCTTTTCAGAGCACATACTCGGCTCTGATTAGTCAGCAAATCCCACTGTGCTCTGATTGGTCTGATGACCATACTCTGCTCTGATTGGTCAGATGCAGCAAATTTTGTTGAAATCAAACACTCATTATTTCTTTTATTCATTTTCCTTCAGCTTAGTTCCTTTATTTATCAGGAGTTGCCACAGCGGAATGAACCGCCAACTTATCCAGCAAATGTTTTACACAGCGGATGCCCTTCAAGCTGCAACCCAGTACTGGGAAACACCCATACACACTCATTTACACACACATACACTCAAACACAACGGGCAATTTAGTTTTTCCAATTCACCTATACTGCATGTGTTTGGACTGGGGGGAAAACTGGAGGGTCCGGAGGAAACCCACACCAACACGTGGAGAACATGCAAACTCGCACAGAAATGCTAACTGACCAACCTGGGACTCGAACCAGCATCCTTCTTGCTGTGAGGCCACAGTGCTAACCACTGAGCCACCGGATCACCCAACACTCATTATAAAATCTGAATTTCGGCAGGTTTACTTTTAGAAGACAATAAGTCCATTTATCCAGCCCAGACTCACTGAAAATATGTGCATCAGTGTAAGTTGTGAAATGTAAAATACGTTGCTCCGGGTACATTTCACTGAACGTTTCAGATGACAAATCCACTAGAGGGCGCTGTGTACATTTTTGTAAATCTGTAATACATTACTTAGCGTACGTTTTGTTGTACATTTCAGATACACATCTTTCTTGTTCACATGCAGGAGAAGGCAGGGCTTGTCGAAAAAAACACCTGACCAGTGGATCGCTGACCAAAACCCAACCAATAGTGTTTTCAAAAGCAAACATACAGAAAAGTGCACTGCGACTGCATAGTTTTACCTTGATTTTACATTGCTTTAATCTCTTTTGGGAAGCGTGCTTCACCAGACTTGAACTTGAGCGTTCTGCATCACAAGTACCACACCCTACAATGTGAGCTACTTAGAAAACTGACTAGCCAGAAAAGTATCCATATGGAGATAGATAGGTGACACAAACATATACAATTACAAATCATTGTCAAAATCAAAATGTTTCATGGTATTTTTTTGATGTTGCGCAAATAAATTCATGAAACTAATTCTTTATTCGTCTATAAATTGTCCCTGTAAATATCATTAATGTGAACAGGAACAAAACTTGACGCCATCATACTGCCCCCTAGCATTAAATTTAATATTTATTTTTTTCAATTGTCTACAAAACAAACCATCGTCATAATAACTGGCTAAGATTTCTAACTTCAACTGTATTTCCACTGAGCCTGTGTTGCAATTGTTGTTTTCCTTTAGACACTGCATGAAATCAACCATCCAAAAAAGAATAATAGCAAGCCCAGTTTCTTTACCTTTTCCTGGTACTGTCGGCGTGAGGAGTCCAGCGATTGGATGAGGGCCGTGGCGTGTCCGATGAAGACGGCGTAACAGGTCGCTCCCACGATCATACTGAGCATCGTCAGCCAGATATCAGAGAGACTCTCCGGAGCCTGACGACCATAACCAATGCACAACATGTGACTCATGGCTTTAAACACAGCAAACGAGTACAGCTCACTCCATGTGTCATTCTGCAGAGAGAGAGGGAGAGAGAGGAGAGGGATTTTACCATAAAAAGAAGTTGTGGTAGAGCATTTTTACTGTAAAATGATATTGCAATAGGGCACTGCTACTGTAAAACACATTTACAGGTAAGATACTGTAAAAGTGCAGGTAAATTGCAGGCAACAGTGCTGCCAGTAGGTTACTCCAAAATGTAAATAAATTACAGCAAAAGTTCTGTAACAATTGTCATATTGTAAAATTTAAGTGTAGTAAAAGCATTTTACCTTAAAAAGAAGATGTGGTTAGGCTATTTTACTGTAAAATGAAATTGCGGCAGGCCCTGCTACTGTAAAACACATTTACGGTTAAGTTACTCTAAAGCGGTAAATTGTAGGCAACAGTGCTGCCAGTAAATTACCACAAAAGTAAATGAATTACAGTAAAATTACTGTAAAGATTAAATGTTACAAAGGGCATTTACCATAAAAAGAAGTTGTGGTAAGGCTATTTTACTGTATAATTAAATTTTATTAGGGTCTTGCTACTGTACACATTTACAGGTAAGACTGTAAAGGCAAAGTTGCGATACAGTGCAGCAATGTAGTAAAGGGCATTTTACCATGAAAAGATGTTGCGGTAAGGTTATTTTACTGTAAAATAAAATTGTGGCAGGGCCCTGCTACTGTAAAACACACTTACAGGTAAGTTACTGTATAGCGGTAAATTGCAGGCAACAGTGTTGTCATAAAAATTACTGTAACAAATGGCCATATTGTAAAATTTAAATGTGGCAAAGGCATGTTACCATAAAAGAAATTGTGGTAAGCCTGTTTTACTGTAAAATTAAATTGCGGAAGGGCTCTGTTACTGTTAAACAAATGTACAGGTACGTTATTATAAAGGCAAAGTTGTGGTAAATTGCAGGCAGCTGAGCTGCCAGAAAGTTACAGCAAAATGTAAATAAATTACAGTAAATGTAATGTCATATAAAAACTTACCACATCAATATGTCATACCATATCAATTTGTCATATGAATTTACCATAAAAACGTTGTGGTAAGGAACATTTTACTGGAATATGAAATTGCAGCTGTGGCCTGCTACTGTAAAACACATTTACAGGTAAGTTACTCTAAAGCGGTAAATTGTAGGCAACAGTGCTGCCAGTAAGTTACTGCAAAAGTAAATTAATAACAGTAAAAGTAATGTAAAATTTAAATGTGGTAAAGGGCATTTACCATAAAAAATAGTTGTGGTAAGGCTATTGTAATGTAAAATAAAGGGCCCTACTACTGTAAAACACATTTACAGCTAAGTTACTGTAAAGGGGTAAAATGCTGGAAACAGTCCTGCCAGAAAGTTACTGCAAAATGTAAATAAATTACTGTAAAAGTACTGTAAAATTTAAATGTAGTAAAGGGCATTCAAGCATAAAAAAAGTTGTGTTAAGGCTATTTTACTGTAAAATGAAATTGAGGCAGAGCCCTGCTACTGTACACATTTACAGGTAAGTTACTGTAAAGGGGCAGTTGTGGTGAATTGAAAGCAACAGTGCTGCCAGTAAGTTACCGCAAAAAGTAAATAAATTACCAAAAAAATACTTTAAAAATTGTCATACTGTAAAATTTAAATGTGGCAAAGGGCATTTAAGCATAAAAAAGTTGTGGTAAGGCTACTTTACTGTAAAATGAAATTGCATTAGGGCCCTGCTACTGTAAAACACATTTACAGGTAAGTTACTGTAAAGGGGCAGTTACAGTAGTTACTATAAATTTTAAATGTGGCAAAGGGAATTTTACCATCAAAAGAAGTTGTGGTAAGACCCTGCCACAATTTCATTACACAGTAAAATATACTGTATAATGAAATTGTGGAAGGGCCCTGCTACTGTAAAACAAATTTACAGGTAAGTTCCTGGAAGAGGTAGTAAGTTAAATCAAAATGTAAATAAATTGCAGTAAAAAAACTGTAACAATTGTCATACTATAGCATTTAAATGTAGTAAAGGGCAATTTGCCATAAAAAGAATATGTGGTAAGGCTATTTTACTGTAAAATTAAATTGCAATAGGGCCCTGCTACTGTAAAATACATTAACAGATAAGTTAATGTAAAGGGGTAAACTGCAGGCAACAGTGCTGCCAGTAAGTTACTGCAAAATATAAATAAATTGCAGTAAAAATTTTGTAACAGTTGTCATACTCTACCATTTAATAGTATTAAAATGCAATTTACCATTAAAAAAAGTTGTGATAAGACTATTTTACTGTAAAATGAAATTGCGGTAGGGCCCTGCTACTGTAAAACCCATTTACAGGTAAGTTACTGTAAAGAAGTAAATTGCAGGCAACAGTGCTGCCAGTAAATTACCGCAAAATGTAATTAAATTACAGTAAAAGTACTGTAAAAATTTGTATGTAGTAAAGGGCATTTTACCATGAAAAGATGTTGCAGTAAGGTTATTTTACTGTAAAATAAAATTGTGGCAGGGCCCTGCTACTGTAAGACACATATGCAGGTAAGTTACTGTAAAGAGGTAAATTGCAGGCAACAGTGCTACCAGTAAGTTAACTCAAAATGTAAATAAATGACAGTAAAAGTACTGTAACAATTGTCATACTGTAAAATTTAAATGTGGTAAAGGGCATTTTACCATAAAATAGTTTGCAGTAAGGCTATTTTACTGTATAATAAAAATTGCGGAAGGGCCCTGCTACTGTAAAACACATTTACAGGTAAGTTACTGTAAAGGCGCTGTTGCTGTAAATTGCAGTAAACAGTGCTGCCAGAACGTTACCACAAAATGTAAATAAATTACAGTAAAAGTACTGTAACAGTTGTAATACTGAACAATTTAAATGTAGTAAAGTGTATTTAACATTAAACAGAAGATGTGGTTAGGCTATTTTACTGTAAAATGAAATTATGGCAGGGCCCGCTACTGTACACATTTACAAGTAAGTTACTGTAAAAGGGTAAATTGCAGGCAACAGTGCTGCCAGTAAGTTACCGCAAAAATACAATCAAATGTCTAACAGTGCAATTATCTAAAACTCTTCCCTAAACTCCAGCATTTCTGAGTCTGGGCATGACAGAGATCAGTGTGGCGAGGGTCTGCCAGCGGCCTCAAACAAGAAGCCATTAAATGTGCCCTTTTTAAAAATGCGTCTGCTGCCTGACTTATACTGACATCCGGCTAATTCCCAAGGCAAGATTAATTACGCTTGCTGTCCTTTGCCCAAATGCTCAAACTCCTGAACCGAGCACAGGAGGGGAAAAAAAAACAGGATCTACTGCATCCATTCAGGATGAGACTAATTACTTTATATGTACACAGCTCACAAATAAAATATGTAGATAGCAATTTTAGACTACTGTATGCTATTTTTGTAGCATGTACGTTATGCACAATACATACATTTTCTTAAAGTGCGTAGTACAAAATAAAAGCACACAGCATTAGCACTGTATCCCACAATGCAATTTACACAACTGACCTTCCACTTATAGCAGAGGTGAACGATTCATCATCTATTCTGGCAGCCAATGTGAGGACATTTTACTCAGAATGCACACTTAAAACATGGAGATTTACACATTGAAACCCATTATCAGAAGTTAGCATTTTCCAAACTGGCACTGTCATGTAAATGAACAATCAAAATGCATGAAAAGCTTTCAGATGTGGAGTGAAAACGGTGTCACGTACACTGTAAAAACCCCTCTAAAAACATTCGGCCACGCAGTAAGTCCTTACATTTATAAAGCGTTTTTCTGGGCACCCAAAGTGCTTTACACATAGGGGGGAATTTGCGCATCCACCACCACTGCACAGCATCCACCTGGATGACGCGACAGCAGCCATTTTGCGCCACACCACACACCACACACCAGGGGCCTCATGTATCAACGCTGCGTATGCACAAAAACTTTGCGTACGCCAGGTTTCACGCTCAGAATTGCTCACGTTTTGATTTACTAACAATGAACTGAACGTGGCAATGTGCGCAGCCCCACGCCAGCTTTATGGCTGGCGTACGCACATTTTTTGTGCGTGTCTGTTTTATTTCTCTTGGCGACTCCTAGAGGCAGTTGTGTTAAATTCCTCTCTACAAAGTGTCTGAGCCTTGCAATGGCAGCTGTATGAGACGGGTTCATCTAGCAGGTTTCTATACCATACATTTGACCAGCTAAACATTAAAGCACAATTTGCAGCGGTCGCCTGTTTTCCCAATGTAATCTGAGCTCTCTACTGCACGCACATTGCTATAAAGACACCATCTGAAGATGTGCAAATAAAATATGATGCACAGACTTATTAATGATTCCTACTTGTCTTTCTCGTGAAAAATAGTTGGCAAAATCTGACACATAGCGGAGGAAAAAAGAAGAAAGAGTTCATCAGATGCTGGATTCGAACCGAGTTCATGCTCGAACGTGTCAAAACATGTTGACATGCGTCTTACGAACTGCGCCACTGAGTCGGTTATGGGTACTGCAGCATTTTACACATATAAATCACACTATTTCTAATTCCGGAGAACAAACTTGTAAATAACACCGCTTTTCTCCGGTCTACCTCCGAAAGCAGCACCTCCAATTCACATTCTGTTCAAAGTTTCTCTTCTTGCTTGCTTTTGCCATTGCTTTTTTGTTGGGTTTTGCCAAAGCATAGTCATTAGCATATTCATACGGGGAAGGAGGCAGGGAGGGGTTTTGTGCTCGTGCATGTTGCGCTCAGTTTCACGTTCATTCGGATGTACAAAAGAATATGCGTGAGATTCGGCAGAAAAAAATTCGGATGTATGAAACACTGCGTACGCACATTTACAGCTTTGTGTGTACGCAATGTTTTAGTAAAATTTCCATGCAAGTCTTTGTACATGAGGCCCCAGCTGATTGGTGGAGAGGAGTGATGAAGCCAATTATGATATGGGGATGGTTAGGAGGCCATAAGGACGGAGGCCAGTGGGCAGATTTGACCAGGATGCCGGGGTTAAACCCCTACTCTTTTCGAAGGACATCC